AAAAATTGTCTTTTTTCATTCATTAATCTACGAGAAAAGAATATTAGCTTCGCCATTTGTATAAATATTAGTTTTATAAATAAAGCTATTTTTAATAATTTTATTATATTAATTAGCAGCTTCATTTAAAGGCACACTTTTTGATAATTTAGTATGTAATATGTTTAGAGTAGATACACTACTATAGTTATAATAGTATATATCTATAATAGTTAATTTTTTGGCTGTAGGCACTATTAGGCAGTTCTATTCTATATAACTTATGCATTGAGCAGCATAATTTTATCTAAAGAGAACACAAAATTATGTATTAATAATAGAATGCGTTAGGGTGTGCTTATTTCGAATTTAATATTCGAGATTTACTCCAAGTATTTAAAACTTTTACTTTAATTTTTTCAAATGATTTCGGTTTTTTGCCAATTTAATTAATTACTGAATTGTAATCATTGAAACTGTTCATATTGTTAATTCCAAACAATATAGGTACTACCCAAACAAGTTCAAATAAAACTATTTTTTTATTCCAAATTTGAAATATTCACACACCCCTAGTAATTTTAAGTAGTATTTACTTCGACTAGCCGTATTTACTGTTGTTTACACCCATCTTTGACTTTCTTCTTATGCTTTTTTTCAAGTGATGATGTTCTTCTTTGTCCCTGTATGGGCATGTAAGGGGGTACGGGGCTTGTTTCTTGTTCTTCGAACGTATTAGGGCTACTGCTGCTACTTGTACTGCTGGGGGCAACACTAGGTGACCCCTTGCTGCTCCGACTAAAGTGCTGACTTCGTCTATTATATGTAGGATCTATGGCTATAGCAATGTTTGACATTTGTTTAGATGGAGATTCGTTTTGGGACGGTGGAGAGTCGCCGTTGTTGTCATTCGTTCCGTGCTTTCGTGAAACCGATTTTAAACTCAGGTTTGTCGGACGGGACGGACTAGATAGTTGAATGTTCGATTCTTGAATGCAGTCAGGAGAGTTATTTGTTTCTTTGAAAGCAGAAGTTGGTAACCTCTAAAAAGTTTTTAATTAATTTACTTTCATTATTGAAACGTAAAATTGTTAAGAGAAATAGAGAAATTAAGATTCATTCAATGGTCTAGGAGTAGATATAAATAAATTTTTGATATATAAATAAAATAGTAAATATTATGTAATAAATAGTTTATAAATTTTAACTGGTAAAGAGACAAAGTTAGCTTTAATTTAAATTTACCCATCATGCACTGCATGAATTGCGTTTGATGAAGACGTGCAAAACGCAACAATGAAAACTTATAAGATGGCGTCGATTACATTAGAACGTCGAAAGTTTTAAAATGTGAAATTTAAACTAGTTCATATACATTAAGGAAACTGTTATTTCATGTGAAATTAATATTACTTTGTGTTTTTTTTTGTGAATTGAAGTCTGCAATTAGCGTTTAAAGTCGGGAAATTGTTAACTTCAATGGCAACTGATTTAGTGGCTTTGGTAAGTCTTACCTATTTCCTTATTAGTTATTACTGAGTTTTCACATAACTAGGTTTTTTGAAAAATTGAACTTACATGTTTGAACTGATTATCTCCTTTGACTACATCGGCGGGTAGGCTATAGCTAACAATATCGTCACTGGGGCCCACCAGGGGCGTCTTAATTACAACGTTTTCAGAGGGAGCTGGGTTTGGTATAAGATCAACAGGATCAGAATACGATTCATCTGGACAAATACTTTGGTCCATTTCCGATTTTTGTTGCTGTTTCTTCATTAGGGATTTTTGTTTGGCTCTTTCCCTAGCTCTTTTAACTTTTTGTCTTTCTTTTTCTTGTAATAGCTTGGCAAGTTCTTTATCCTGAGCTTCAATAGCCAGTAGTCTGTCTCTATCCAGCTGAATATTTTCTCTTTCCTGTAATTCTCTTGCTAACTGGGCATCTTTTTCCTCTTGCATTTTTCTTCTTATCAATTCATCAGCTGGAAGACTGTCTTCAACAATTTTTAATCTATTTAAATCAGTGCTAAGTTCATCTGCATTCCTATATACTTCACTATAAGTGTAGATTTCTGCTGATGGAACTACATTCGAGTCCAAATAGGGATCTGCATATCCATACACATCCGAAGAAATTGCATTGTTACTAGGTGATGTTAGCTGCTTATTAGGTGATGTATTAGGTAGAGGCATGGGCTTGGCTTGTCTTCTAGGTGTGTGACAGTGATAACTGTTGGAAGACCAGTCGTTTGGTCTGTTCTGATGAGGTGAGATTAAAATATTTGGTCTATTTGGAAATTCCATTTCTGTGTACTGAGTAACTTCTTCATGAATTTGTTTAGCAAGAAATTGATCCTGCATTTGAAGAGCTTGCCTAAAAAAAACATAGCTGTATTTCTGTTTGTATTCTGATAGATAACTTACTTTTTGATTTTTTCTTCCCACTCTAATTTTTGGGCCAATTCTTTGGCATATTGACTATCAACTTTTTCTTGTTCTTCTAACATTTGATGATAAACCATTGCAGCTTGTTCTGCCAATTGTTTTTCACGCAGTTGCTCATCTACAGCTCTTGGAAAGTCTTCCCTGACTAAGGCATTTCTTTGTTTATTCCCTTTGTAATGTTCCGTTATTTCCTGGTTTTGTAGTTGGTATGCTAAAGCCCCATCTTCTCTGACCAACCATTCTCTACACATTTCGTTAACTTTACCTGTCTTGGGTAGTAAATCTCTTTCTGCATTAGCCATGACTGTAATTTCTTATTTCTACCTAATGCCATGGATTAAAAATTACGTAGTTTACGTAAACTATTTCTTTATAGTAATTTTGTAGCACATATTTATGTATAACAATATGGATTAAAAACTTAACCTCCGACTGGGGATTTGTAAAAGAGAGCACATTTCCTTTCAGTTTACTAAAACAGAGCAGAAAATTACAACAACTGAAATTCAATTAAACTTTCAGTTTTCAAGTGATTCTAAATTTAATAACATTTTAATAATAACTGGAGTAAAATTGTCGTCGTTTGTTTATCTTTGTCATGTTTGGTCAGTTTACTTTCTATCTTTGTCCAACATTTTTTTTTGTAGTGTGTACTTTTTTTTTTAAATCATTCAAGTATGTTCATTCTTTTATCGTGTGTCATTCCCTTCTCAACCAGTAGTATACTGTGTGTTTAATGAACTACGAATATGAAAATGAATTGGTACCATATTACACTATTCATAGTTTTCGTTGTTTGCTTATGTTACTTATTAAAAAACAATGCAAAAAAAAATACATTTTCGAAATCTCTAATGTTAATTAAAACATCATGTACCTACACATTCAGTTCAATTACTTCAGAATAAATTAACTTTTACTTTCTATAAATTGTATAATTATTTAAAACAGTCATTTACAGTAATTACGATTATAATAATAATTTACATGAACTACTGAAACATATACGATTTTAATTGTTAAAGTCTTAAGAGATGGAAGCAGCATTAATTATTTAATTCTGTACCAAAACGAAAATTTGAANGAGTATGCACCTGTAATGTTAACTTACTAGGCAATGACGTGTAAGGGAAGAATTACTAAAAATAGTGTTAAGTGCGAAGTAATAGGTAGAATATTAAAATGAAATACCCTATTGTGTTCCGCTTCCATTCGTAAACGTGCTTCTTCAACAGCATCCCTTCTAGCTGTCATTCCCCAAGTAATATACATCCTTTAGTATTTTTCATCGTTGTACAGCACTATAAAATAATTTAAAATACTTATGTATGAATTTTGTTAATAATTATTATTTTTCTTTTGTTTTAGTATTAATTCGGTTTAGTGTTTGTGGTATTTGGACCTGTGGTATGAAAAGTTAGCAGCCCCCTTCCCTTTCTGCCCAATAAAAAGTAGTAAAGGTAGGATTTTCTTTTTTCCTGTAGTTTATTTTTCTTATTTGATTGGATGAAGATTTTGATAAATGAATTTTAAATTACATTAAGGAATGTAGGTTGTAGCAAATGAGTTACTTTCTCGCTAAGTAATTGGTTTTCGATTTTAAACGACATAAATAGGTAGGTTTTGATTCATTACCCCTGGTTATTTTCGAAAATGATTAGCTAAAATAAAATCCTTGGCGTCTTGAGTCACGTTTGTACAATCCCTCTTTCATTTTGAGTGATGAATTTTAAACTTTTAAAAAGACAATAGTTTAATTATTGATGTATGTATTATTAATATTATTTTCTTCAATAACCTTATACAATACGTTTCAAATGTAAATATAATAAATCCAATTGCTTTTGTATATCAGTCATAATACATAGTATATTATAATTATTATTAAGTACTTAGTGATGTAGAATATGTTAAGAATATCACACGTTAACGTTTGGAATGTAAACACTCTGTACTTGAGAAAAAGAAAGTAATAATTTAAAACAGGATAACATAATTTACATGATTTTTACATATTTACAGTAACGTTAACAAAGAAATAATAATTAGACGAAAATTAAAAATACGACTGAATGGCAGTGAAAATGTAACAATGACAAAAAAATAATGAGCTGCCTAGGTTCAATATTAGCACTTTTTTTAACACAAAAGCGAAAAATATTTAATTAAATTAAGTCAACAGTAACAGTTAAACAAAAAAAAAAAACAAGTCCTGCTATATCGATGGTAACCTACGCCTTTATACATGATAATAAAAATTGTACTTAAATAATAAATACGAGATTATAAATAATAGGGTATAAATATATACATATACAGTTAAGAATCGTTTTGGGAAGTTGTCTAATACTTTTCTAAGCACTACAATGTTTTTTATTAAAACTTGACCGCTGGTAATATAATAAATCCAAATAAAAAAGCATGATATTAAAAAATTGTTGTCCAAATTTTAGTAAACCTTCTGCAATAAATAAAATGTTGTGGCAGTGTTTCAAATTCGAATAATGTCGTTTTCATTTATTGGAAGACAAAGTTGAATTTAAATTATGAATGAAATTGATCACTGTAGTGCACATTTTCGTTACTTAGATTATAATTTTTAGGAACATTAATAAATTAAATGCTTCGAAAAATTGTAGACATATCATTCCCTTTTAATAACAAACCACTTATTTACATACAACTACGGTTTGAATTTTTTAAATTTAACACTCTACTTTTTGGTTTTCAATAAGTACCCTACTTGCTCTCAGTAATATTATTTTACTTTTTCAATAACAACAACATTAATTTGCGCAAGTAACAATTTTTTAAAAATATTCAATAAATTTTTAAAAGAGTTTTGACGTTTGTAACATTAACATGCAGTTTCGATTAAAAGAAGGCACTAATTTATAAAAAACAAAATTGTTAAATCACAGTTAAATATGTATTATTAAAATTCAAAATTAATTTCATTGCAATTTGGAAAACTTTTAGTAGAATTAAGGAACATTAGAAGTATGGCAAGAAATTGATTTCTTTAAGAAATGTTAGGATATAGAAGGCGAAACAACAAATGAGCGATTTCAAACTCGTTGATTTATAATCATATTTCAGACCAAATGATACTAAATTATTTTTCGATTTGTTTTGATATCATTCAGTGTGGTATATAACTCGAAACCAATGAGTTATTTGTCTATCTATCACCTTTTGTATTATATTATAGGTACAGAAATTTTGTATTCTTTGTCTCAAGAATTGAATCAATTAGAAACTTTATCACATTACTAATTAGAATTTTATAAAATTTCAAATGTTATTTTGGAAGATTGCATTTAAGGAAGAACAATTAGAAGAAAACTTCTTTGAATGATAAAAATAAGTCTGAAAACAATTTTTTGTGCTCTTACTAAATAATACTGCTTACTAAGGATGGAATATCTATCGCACTTTAATTATCAAACCTGATATTCTTGCTTCGATCATAAAAATGGAACTATTTAAAATATGGTGATAATAAAATCATCACGTACCGCTTACACTTGAGTTAAATTTAGAAAATTTACCTATTTGAGAAAACGGTTTGGAATTTATCTTTACAGTAACAAATAAATAAAAAAAAAAATACTAGAACCACGAATAATGACTGAAATGGCTTATAAAATACTTTAAAAATTCTTAAATGTTAGAGTTAAGTAGCAAAAAAAGCCTAATACATAAATAACAAACCAATGTGTGCATGTCTTGATGCACCAATCACACTCCGCTATTGTATTGCGCAGCACCTTCTGTTGTGCTCGACTATTTCGTCGGTGCCCCCTGTGAATTTTGTCAAGTCGGCCGTTGAAGGTGTGGGTACTAGGTTTACTTCCGGAATGACGCTGTTGGTATCGGACGCTGTGAGAGAGTTGACATCGTTCTTCTTTCTTATTTCCATCCGTTGTTTCTTGAGGTCTGCTAGGGTACCATTACCGTTAATCGTAACAAACACGTGGACGGTCACTTTACCGTTTACATCGGTCGTATATGCCGATTCGTTTTTGTCTCCATCTCCATAAGTTTCACTGGCTAACAGCGAATCGTTGTCCTTGCCTTCGGGGGCTCGTCTGTCAGATGGCGCAAGTGCAGTGGTGTTGTTAGACAATTCTTCCGTCCCGTCACCCTCTGACGGATTAGTGTTTGTCCCATCAGTCGAACTAGGAGGCGATTGTCCATTTTTAGCAGCCTCTTGTTCTAAATTCTATTTATTAAAATTCGGTATATATTAAAATACAGCACGTCTAGTTTATTAATAGAACTATTCATAAAAAACGACTTCAAGATTATACAGAAAACTTACAGCTTTGTTTATAGCGATTTTCAAACTACAATCTATTCTAGCTTGACTTTCTAAGTTAGGCGAACGCAATATATTATTAATCATTTAAAACATAGCTATTGAATTTAAATTTTAATATACCTCGATGGTTTTTAGTTTATATGAAACGCACACCACACTAGGTTTTTTAGTAATAAACTGAAACATTTTCTACAAAACTGGACGTAACCAACATACCGTTCGAAACTCGCTTCGTTACTAAATATAATTTCGCGCTAGACTCATAGAAAAAATAATAAAGGAAAAAGAATGTGGAAGAGGTGCATTTTGATCATTAATATTATATTGTTTCTAAAAAGGAAGAATATTACAAGTTTTGCATCACAGTCCAAGATATCCCTCTTGCTCAGTGATAGGGAACGGTTACTTTCAGTAATCCATGTTCGATGCTAATTATCACTTGGATGCAGTTGTATTAAAAATTAAACACCATGAAGAAGTAGGCAATTAAAAAAGAGAAATTAAACGTATGTTTAAACATTTAAGAAATGCAGAGAAATTGAAACGATTGTGGAATTCATTTTAATTCTTTAACTTACTCAGAGTATGCACCTGTAATGTTAACTTACTAGGCAATGACGTGTAAGGGAAGAATTACTAAAAATAGTGTTAAGTGCGAAGTAATAGGTAGAATATTAAAATGAAATACCCTATTGTGTTCCGCTTCCATTCGTAAACGTGCTTCTTCAACAGCATCCCTTCTAGCTGTCATTCCCCTGTCCCGTAAAGACGTCCTCCTGACGGAATGCACTCGTGTGTTACTCTGGGACCGCCGAACTCTTTTCTTCTGGTTCTCCAGTAGACGTTTATTTTCTTGTTCTGTTTTTAGTTGTCGAATTCGTTCTTTCAATTCTGGATCTTCACAAATATCTAAATAAAAAATATAACAATATACATCTGGCAACAATAAATAAAAACTTTTCCAGTTTTTACCTTCAGGTGTTTCATCGTTTTTGTTTTTGGCGTTCAAATCAGCACCTGCCTGCGCCAGAAGTTCAAGTACATCGAGCTGTAACGTTCTTTTTTATTTGAAAATATTCTTCTTACTATTTCTATTCGACTTACGTGACCCCAACATGCAGCTGCATGTACAGGCTGCCAGTCATCTCTATCTACGACATCTGTCCGAACATTTTGTTCTAATAGGTATTCTACAACTGACGTGTAACCATTTGCTGAGGCTATGTGTAACTAAGAAAAAATATTTGTATCATTTGATTTAATTATTACTATTATTTTAGTTTATTTTACCGGTGTTGCGCCCTGATGATCGTGGAACTCCAGATCGCCACCATTGGCAACAATTCTTTTGAGGTCGTTGAGCATATTTTTCTCCGTCAGCGCCCTGGTGTCGTCTATTAATTGTTGGGTGACCCCCCTTTTGGCCATTTCGCTTTCGATGTAGTCTAACGTTTGTTCGTCTTCGCAAATATCATAGGGCATGTTACCATCGGCATTCACGGCCAAAAGATTTGCTCCCCTTGCAATCAATATCCTAATAAAAATTGGTTGATTGATAGTAACGACGGATACTTTTATAGAGTCAATATTAGCTACCTAACCAGCCTCAGGTGACCGCATGTAGCTGCCGCATGTAACGGAGTCCATTTTTCGCTGTCTTCGGAATTAACATTAGCCCCATATTCTAACAGGAGTTGTAACATTGCCTCATTGTCGTCTATGCAACACTGATGAAGGGCAGTCAAACCATCTTCGTTACACGAATCGGGACTTACCCCTTTACTTAGTAAATGTTTTACTAAAAAAAAAGAATTATCACATAAATTGTTTTTTTTTTTTTTTTTTTTCGTTCTACCTTCTTCTATATCGTTTCTAGCTGCAGCCTCTAACAGTACAACGCTATCTTTGAATTTGATATTTGGTTTCGAAGATTTTTGCAACTTGGACGGCTTTCGATTGAACTCTTTTTCTTTGTTTATCCAATGTTTGAGCTGTTGCGCCCTCCTTTTTCTTGCAAGATTCAGTCTTTCCTGGGTGGGAAGCTGCTCGATATGTGGCATTTCTTGAATCAATTCAGAATGATCCATTTTGGAATTTGTTTTTTTTTTTTCAGTAAATTATATTAATTAAGGGAACAGTTTGATCTGAAAAACAAAAAATATGTTATCATTTTCCCCAATTAAAATTAATATTAAACTTACCGTTAGTGTATTTCGTAGATGTTTTTCATCAGATAATATGCGGGAATCGCTAGAAACCAGCACCTAAAAATAATTTATTTTATGAATAAATTGTTGTTATAAGTAAAGAGCCTAATTCAGATATGTATACATATATCTTGTCATTATTATCAGCTACTACCTATTACAGGATATAAATTTATTACTTTTATCATGCGTGTCTTTACGATAATAGTTATATGCAAATTAGTTACTTGAGTACTTGTATTATGGTTGTAAATAATATAACATTTTTGGCATTTATTGGATAGCAGAAATTAATCCAAAAAGCAAAAGTGGTAATCAATCATGATGCAAAATGCAATCTTGCTTGTGATAATAAGTGCGAGGTGTTCAATAACAACGTATTCGTTCAAAAAACTTAACATTTTCTGGAGAATACCTTAATTAGTTACGGCACATGTACCTATTACGAAAGCCCCCAGTCATTAAAGTCAAAGATTTGATTTTAATTGTATAATTTAGTGAACTGTGAAAATTATTAAAGTTAAATAATAAAAGTGTATATTTTTCTCGATTATTAAAAGGTTTGTTTCTCTTAAAAGTTATTACACAAAATGAGGCGATTTAAATAGAACGTTTTGCATATGCATTTAAAATAATTGGCTTTGAACTTAAGTATTTATAATATAATTATAACACACATTTAATCTTCTCCCTTATATTTTGTACAAAAAAAGTGTTAGCTAATAAGTAGGTAATTGAATCGATCAGTCTTATCTTGATTTTTTTTTGTTTTGCTACAACAGATTATTCAACAAGAATGTATGTAATAACTGTTTTCTGAAGTGTATCAGTTTTATCAGCAAAATTGACCTCTAAACATAAATATACAGTACGTCCCGTAAACATACGATTAATTAGATATTGACATCTTAATTAGTAACAGATTATTAAAGGAGAAATGCAGTTTTATGTACTACACTTTAAATGCAATCACACTCGGAATTTCATTAACATTTTTATTACTACCACAACAACAATGTTTGCAATTAGTAATTAAACAAATAATATTGTTAATTTTTTTAAAACAAAAACTTGTGGGTGCTTACTTACCGAATAACAAAAAACAATTATTCCTTTACCCGAACTTTAACACGACTATCTAGTATATGCACCTTGAAAGTTTATTCAAGATAGGCCATGTGTAAAATGTCAATAACAGTTTTGAAAATAACACGTAATCATGTTGGATATCAACAAAATTGTAATTTTCTTTTCCTAAACAAACCTGAATGATTTGGAAAAAAATCACAAATGCCTTTCTATTTTTAAATGTTTACTTATATTGAAGAAATAAGCTTAATTTCTCTACCTCTTAATGTAGTTTGTATTCGAGATAAATAGCGAGTAAAATGTTTCGTGCTGTATGTTAACTTATTATCAATTACTTGTAAAAGAAATATGATTATTTCACTACAAAAACATTTAAAATAGACGAATGTGTGACGTACTATATATACATATAAAATACCTACTGGAACGAGATTTCGTAAAACGGTAGACTCATACTGTTTTAAAACAAGGGCTCATATTTTAGGTATGATTTTAAAAACGGAAATAAGTTTTTTAACATCTTATTAACAGTTCTTTACTAATATATAAATTCTATATAAAATTGATGTTATACAGTTTCAACTGATATATTGTACATATTTACATTTTTTTTATTTAAAAATATCTTCTAATTAGAAGTTAAACTTAGCATCTCTAACATAATTTTTGTTTGGATTGAATACACCTCCATGTTATTATTATTTGGCAAATAGTAATCAACATTAAATAAAAACTCCGTTTCTGGTTGTGCACTTACGATTAGTTTTGAATGTTTGAAGAGATAACAAGCCTTATCTTTGATAAAGTTTATTTTATATAGCATACCTACATAGGTGCACTTATACGTACAATAATAACTAGCGTTAATTTTAATAAAAGGGTAATATGAATGTAACAGAAAATGATAATTTTGCAATACCTACATGTATGTCTGAGTTGGAAAATGTCAGAATATGGGACATTGTAAATGTACATTTTAAATCAAAAGAAAATTAATTACACAATTTATTTCTGAAGGTGATTCAATAATAAATTGCAAATTTTTGTGATGTAGGTATATTAGGTAGTACTTACATACTTAGAACTTTTATTTTTGTTGCATGTTAATAGCTTTATATGAACGTATACAGGTATATTTGAAATTCTCACCTTTCTAAACAGGTTGGTTGCATTTTCGCACTGCAGTCAATAAGTTGTAAATTAATTTTTAATTCATAACTTTCTTGTGCATATTCACTTGACACTTCATTTTTAAAATTCACACAAATGGGGACACCCGACACCTTATCTTTTTAATTTTATAATTTATTAATCCAGCATGTACTCTGCTAAACTTGGCCAAATTACAGATTCAATTTGACGTAACACACTTCCTGTTATTTCCTGTTTCCCTTCTTTTTCTGTTTTAAGTTCTGTTTGTTCTCTTGTTTGAAAGTGAACAAGCTGTAAAACGTCAAACATCAAACATGAAGTGTTTAAAGTCTACAACAAATTCGACTCTACTTTTTTTAAACTTTTTTCGAGGATGTGTTTGAAATCCTTCTTTTCTAAGATTTTTTTCCCCTGATAGTATTTTCAGTTGTACTTGGCAATTTTGGCCGACGTATTAACATAGGTTACTGCTTTATTTTTTGAAAATCTTAATATAACTTCACTCGTTTATGGAGACACAGCCAATGTATGTTATGTGTCTCTATGGTGTTTACTTTTCGTACTCTATGAAAAAAATGTAGGTGGACTGAATTGTCAAAATATTGTTATGTTTGTTAATTTTTTTGTTATTACGGAGTGAAAAGAAAATTTTTAATTAAAAGCATAATCATGATCGTCAATAAATCGTATTTTGCTGTTTTAGCTGGCACTTTTGCCGCGTTTGGTAGTTTATTCGGGAAGTTATCCGGATTAGAAGCATTTAAGGTTAGTTTCACTGTTTGATTTTCAAAGTTTTGCAATAACAAGAGAACTATATTATTGTTTTAGGGGTATTTATTCGTATGTAGGATACTATTTTTTTGTTTAATGATAGTCAGTAATAGTGTGAGTTTGACCATGTTTACTAAGGCTCTTCATAATTCGTTATCATCGTTGTATGCAACTGTTACGTGTGCTGCTACAAATTATATCATTTCGGTGAGATATCCTTTAAAACGTGAATTCTCTTTTTGAAATAATCCAATAAATTAGGAGTTTTGTGGCTGACTTTGTTTTATTCAGGGTTGTCTTGGAATTTTTTTCTTCCAAGAGGAAACATCTTCCCTTTGGTGGTGTGGAATAGGTTTAATCTTATTTGGACTCAACCTGGTGGCGAGATAGTATTTTTATAGATAAAATATCATATTATTGAATTATATTTACATTAGGTATAGATTTTATAAACGACATAAAAAGTACTAAAGTGATTCTACTTTATTAAACAATAACTCAATACTATTCACAGTATCTTTTAAAATAGATTCTATTTCTTTGGGTGATTTTGACAGAGATTTATCGATGATAAGGCCCATTTGGAGACGATTTTCGTATGTAACAATTGAAAATCCAACCCCTGTAATAAATTTAAACGAAAATGATAATTATATAAAAATGCGTCTTAAAAATCTCGTTATTATATGTTATACCTGTATTGAGTTGACATGGTACCCAAAATACTAAGTCTTTGACTAACATATCTTCAGAAAATTTGAATGTTTTTGGACCTTGTAAATTACTAATTGCAACAGTTGTACTTCTTAACACCCAATCCAGTCCTGGCCTTAAAATTGGGGTTGGTACGTATTTTCCGAGAAAAGACATGATCCAAAAATTTGCCTAAAATAACAAAAAAGGTGTAAAAAAGCAAAAATTGACTGTAGTCTGTTTTTTCATATTTAAATAGGAAAAACAGAACGCTTATGCAACACAACGAACACATGCGTATAGTAGGTTGCCTCCATATTTTCCTATTAGTAGCTTATGGATCCATATAAATGTCCCTCTATAGGATCAAGCTTAAATATAGGAGTTGGAATAAAATTGACGATAAATTTGCGTTGTATTTTTTTCTGAGATCTATTCATTAGCGTTATTAAAATACATTGGGGAAATTGTATTTGACTCAATAAGTCGTACGAAAAAACCGTGAGGTCAGTTTTACTTCAGCTCATATATTTATATAGGTCATCTGAAATGATGTGTTTGAATAAAACACTTACTCTCTGCTCAACCGAATTTTTTAAATTTGTCGAATTCTCCTTCATCTGTAGCAGCTTATCGACCAGTGCTTCCCCCGTTTGCGGTTTCGTCATGGTCGGCGTAGGAAGGTTTTGTACTACCAATGAAAAATTATTTTCGAAAATTACTTTTTCAACCTCGTATTTTCCCGGCGTTATGTGCCGAAGTTCCGGTATGGGTGGGATCATTGGTATTCCTGATGTTAATTGGGTAGGAATGCTTTGGGAATTCTAAAGTAAAGAGTAATTTTATATTAAAAGGCAATTTAATGAGATATAAATGATTGGCTTGCTTCACATATTTATTGAAATATATAAAATATTTTTTTAAATCTGATACACCAAATGATAAGATTAGCAGTTATTACGAGACACGTACCTTTATAAAATGATTTTCTAAACTGTTGCAAATCGCGGTGAAAATTACGTCCGAAAATGTAGCTCCTTTGACTTTATTTTTCGTCTTTTTCGCCATGTCTATATATTTCGAAATATCTTCCGAATACCAGCCCAATTCGGCTTGGTCTGTGACGGAATTTTCGGTATTTAAAATGTTCCTGTCGTCTTTCCTGCACGCTAATACTGCCACATGCGGTAAAAACCAAATTGCATGCCTTACGAATTCTGTCATCGATTTTAACAATTCTCTAAGTTGTAATAACATTAGGGTCATTATTTCTATGGCGTCTACTGATTTTAATATTTTTGGCAACGGGTTGTTATCATCGCTTATATTGTGATTAATGTCTTTATAAACGAGTTTATCTTGTCCCAGAAATGATACAAAAAATTTCAAAAAGGTCGAACCGTCCAGCAAGGAGTGGTGGAACCGGAACACAACAGGATAATAATCTTTATCGTCATCATTCCAGTAAGTTACTTGTTTATTTCCAATGTTGATTTCCCAAAGTGCTTTGTGTCCTTTAGGCAAGTTCTTGTTGGATATTTTTGAAATGCAGTTTCTTAATGCGTTACGAGACAACGTTTCGCTATCGTAGTCTTCCTCAGTTTCTATACTTTTAATGCAATCGTCCACCGTAACTTGGTCCTTTAACAGGTAATAATACGGTTCGTTTCTTTCTAACGAACTTAACAGTTTACTACTGCACTCTTTTCTGGTTTCTATTTTCTTTTTAATGAACGTTGTTAAGGCTGTTTTTAGCGGTATTTGTTTGTTCTTGTACTCGATTATGAGAAGTACGTTTATGATGGATTTTGAGTTTTTTTCAATCGCCCATACAGAGTCGGTTCCCTTTAATAGGCCCCCGTACGATTTTCCGTACTTTTTCCGTAAACGGTTGTCCACGTATTTTCTGTAGGTCCACAGTATTAAGAAGACAGGAAGTAGTAAAGGAAGTAGTAGCATATAAGTTACCACGATACATAATAATCGCAAATAATAGTAAGATATCACCTGCTTATGGTTCTGGTTTATGTGTTTCTGAAAACAACAATACACACTTATTAAAATTATTTAATTAATTAAGGTGCAATTGATTTAACTCGAAGAATGTAATCTTTGCATTACACGAGTTGTTTCGTTTGATGTTATTAATTAATATAATCCATTACAAGCTTTATATATTTCTAATACAAACAAATTATGCATATTGCTTTTATCGATAAGTTCGAATTACATCTACGTATATTTCTTCATTATAAATTCATTATACCGCTATGAATTAAACCAATTAGCAACAAAAGGTAAAAACCTTGTAAGAGAGTTCTGTAAACGTCGTATCTTTCATTTCACTTTTTCCCTACATTAAATAATTAATAAAATAGCTGAGTTTTTAAGAAAATCTTTTGTGCAATTTAGTATACTTCATTGACTTTCTGTAGCGATGTGCCCCTTCCAATGTCTTGGATGCGCGCTGGTAAAATCGTAGGTAGGGAGAAAAAAGCTTATTATACTCTCGACTGTTGTTCATTAAACATACTTTTTTATACAGTTCCTGCCAAAAGTTTTGTTCAATCATGAATAGTATGCGAGTCGAAAACAAGCGTTAAACCCTTTAATATGTCTTCAAATATAAATAAAAATCTCATTGATATTTTCAGTAGTAATTGGTACCAATAACAGTACATTTGAGCAATGCAATTGTAGTGGATAAAATGGTTATTTTTTCCGTGCAGTACTGTACGGATTATACGCTCCTCACCGGTTAAGAGTTGTCTCCTTTCTTTTCTGGCCTAGTGCTGTTCTTTTCTACTTTGCGCCGGTCAAACTGAAGGTCACATCGCTACAGAAACTAAACGAAGTATAGTCAATATTTTGGTAGATGTAATGACCTTCGGTTGGTGGGAGGATGGGGGTAACTTTGCCGAACAGCATACAATAAGAGAGATGGGGGTAGAGAGAAAAAATGTTTTTAGGTGGAGACGAATGGTTGATGGTGAAGAACTCTTGAGGGAAAGACGAGGGAACTTGTAGTTCTACTAGGTCACCCCCCTCCCTGTACAAGCGAGGGTCTTTGTATTTAGATCTAGACATTTAGGGATTTTTTTATTGGTTAATTATGAAACGTACTTTTTATTATTGCTACGCATTTGGACGATTAAGTCCGGATTATGATAGAATCTCACTGATAAGACTGATAATACTGTATCGAAACATATTCTACTGCTTTTGTTTCACACTGAAGGCAATTAAGTATATTTTTTAATTTACCAAAAGAATTAATTTACATACATATTTATTAAGCGAATTAAATGAATAATTAAATAATGAAAGTAAACACTGGAAAGTTTTCAGAACTTTTTTTCTGTTGCCTTGACGATTTACCGTTTTTTTTACTATTGACTGAGGTGATGGTGCATGCATACATGTATGTGTAAATCGAAACAATATAAATAGAAAAGTTTATAAAAACAAAAATATTCTGTTCTGGTTATACTTGTATTAATGAATATGTCCACATCCTGTATAAATTATGCATTCGCCACTTTTTTATTGTTTATTTAAAAATTATTATTTGGGAATTATGATTAGTAAGCCAGCAGTTTCATAATCAGTGACGAATCTTGGACCAGGGATATGAGGCATGAAATTTTGTCTGGGCCTCTTTTTATAAAAATTTTTTTTACAATTTTTCCAAGAAATAGCTGTAGTATGAGGCCCCATGCAGGGTTCGGTCAGTCGGGGGCTCTATGCAGAATGTCACCTTAGGTATTAAGACATTATATTGTATTAAAAATCCAGTTTTGGCAACTTTCTAAGAATTCTTTTTTGGTACAATTAACCTATGTACCTGCTAAATACGTACGTAAGATTTTGTGTTTTTGTTCACTTTCATCAAGTTGCAGTAGAAATTACAATAATTACCATCAGTATAAGCAGAAAACAGAATATTATTAGTTCGTAAAACAAACAAAAAACAAAAGTCAATTTCATATTTTTATAGATATCGATTTTGTTGTTACGAATCTTTATATTTAGATAAATCGTTTTTTTATTATTTATTCTTACCTTAGAACTGATAAGAACCCACGTAAGAAATCCTACAATCCCTGATAGTAATGCTAATTTCCATAGTAAATCCTTCTCGTTCGTTGCACTGTAATGCATTTTTTTGATAAACAGATACAAATCGATTTCCAACAATATACCGTTATTGTCAAGGTTGGATTTGCGAACGACTACAATTATTGTTCTCTCGTCTAATTGTGGGCAATTTTTTCCGAACGCAACTATTATCTGACAATGAGATCAAATTTTTTCAAAGGTATGTTACTGATAAGACGATACACGAGACAGTGAATTTGAATTCGAACTTTTCACTCTCTTATTAATATAAGTAAATACTACTGTACGAATAAGCAATTAAAAAGATCCAAAAAATAAAATTATTTAGCCCGTAACCGCGCCTGTTTCACACATTTCGCAATTTGAGGGAAGACGATGCACTTCTTTTGGAAACAAACAATACGATGCCGTCCTGATATTGAAACGGTCAGTTTTTACCTAACCATGCACCTTTTATAATAACCCAATAGCCTTCTAATTGTTATTAATAGGCGCTTTATGCATATAGGTATTTAAAGTTGGTCTACGATTAATACACCACTTATTGTTACTGTTGTTGACTGGGTATACTACTACAGCAAATATGTATTGTTATTATTAGTTATAAGCACTACGTTTCCCACTACCACCGATCTCGTATAAAGATTATAAATTATCAGGAGGGAAAAATTTAAATTAGTCTTGTTTGTTGGGATTTTGTTCTCTCTTTGTAATTGTTATTGTAAACATTTAAATAAACAGCAGATAAACTTTTCGATTGTTAGATTATTGTATTGGGGAATCGTTTCTGCAGTAAGTAATGTTATCTAAACATGATACGTGTCAATGTAATGATTGTTTAAAACTGCCCATCGTCGGTTGTTACCGGAAGAAAAAATTTAATTGCAAACGAAACCAATGCAATTGACACAAACTTAATAATAAAACAAAATGTTTACGTAACAAGAAGTATGACAGACCTTTTAGTACTGGTATAAAGAAAATTTGATTACCTTTACACTATTAACAAAGCCGAATTTATATAAGGTTTTTTTGGGCTGTTGCTGGATATAATGGGCCCCCCCGCCCCCATTAAAATCAATGAATAATATATTGTGAATTTAGAAAATAATCTAAATATAACAGAACTACAATTAATTTCGCTAATTTTTTTGCTATCATTAACGAAAATAGTTTTTTTGACAAAATTATAATTAGTTTGATTAATTAGGTAAGCTTGTAGAGTAGTGTTAGCCCCCGGTCCACATTTTCATGGTCTACCTCTAACTATTGGTCAGTTGTTATTTCATATAAATAATAAAGTAATACCTACAAGTCTAATAAGTGCTACTAAGGGGTGTTAGATTTTGCTCAAAATATTTGGAGAGTTAGGTTATATTAGTTTCGGATAGTTTTCAGATAGATGTGGCTGAAAAAGCAAATCCATACTTAAAATGAAAAAATGCCATTAATCTTCTTTTTTTCGACTTAAAAGCATTAGACTGAAAAATAATGCAGGAATTCAATAAGTTCTATTTTAAGATTCCGAAACAAAAAATTTGGTCAGTGTTCATCCGTTTGTTACAGTTCATTAAAATTTACAGGCAAAATATCTTTTCATGTATATGTATGTAGTCATTAAATTGATGTGTCTGTAATATCGAAATAATTGTCTTTATTAAGCTCATGTGGTTATTTGCACGTTGGTAAAATGGGAATAATCTAGGCTATTTCTTTTAATTATTGGTTGGTTCGAATGATAAATAAAAGTAAAACAAAAATACTGGTATGCAGGGGAAGAAAATGTAGGAAAAGAGCGAATATAAAAATAGGAGGAGACGAAAAATTAGAAGAAGTTTAGGTATCTAAAAAGTCAGATAAGTCAGGATGGAAGGAATAATAGGGATATAAAGCAGAGGATAGCGCAGGGTCGAGTCTCCTTCAGTAAAAAGAAGTCACTTCTATGCTCGCGAACGGTTAATTTAGAAATTTGAAAATTATTTTTAAATGTGTATGTTTGGAGTGCGGCGCTGTACAGGTGCGAAACATGGACGGTGGAATGCAGCGAATGATGAGGATACCGTGGATAGAGAAGGTTAGAAATGAATAGGTATTGGAAAGAATAGGAGAACAGAGGACTCTATGGAAGTCAATAAAAAATAGGCGAGATAGGTTGGTAGGACACCTTCTCAGGCATGAAGGTCTAGTCAGAGACATATTAGAGGCAGAAACAGGAGTTAATAGGAGTAGACCTAGATTAGATTATTGTTCGCAAATAGTTCTAGTTTTAGGGAAATACGAAGATTAGCTCAGGATAGGAAGGAGTAGAGGTGCGTGTCCAACCAGTCTTAGGACTGACGACTTTATAATGATGATAATAATTGTATCTAGCAGTGGTGACTGATGCCTATAGAAATAGGTGAAAAGTTATAAAAAAACGGAGAAAAACTAATGCCCTGGAATGCCCCTTCCGGAAATTATGTCGAATAATATGAATATTTCGAGATCTTCACCTTCAGTACAGTAAACTGATCAACTTGCTGCAATCTCTTCCCTATTCGAGGTACGACTGTGGAGCGTTGTCATAGCAAATCTCTCGATCTGGCAGAGGTGCAGTGGTCACCCGTCTAGCTCTTCACTTCGGCATTTGTTACATATATTACAGCCATCACAAGAGCTACTTAAAACAGTATAAATCGCCCTAAAAAGGTACAATAATTTTCTACACCCTTTTACACGAAATTAGTTATGAGAGAAATTGATTGATCATAAATTTTCGTAAACAAATGTCGATGCTATTTAGATCAGTTTTTCGCCTACTGTACCTTAGGAGCCGCCAATAGTATTTGTTATAAACAATTAGAACTGACGTTTCTGAAATATGAATCATGCAGTTAGAAGTTATTTAAAATAAATTTTGCATACGGATTTAACTTTTGTTTCTATATACCAGGAGTGGCCAACTTTTCTTTATATTTGATCTACTTTTTATTTTAAAAGTGTGTCGCGATCGACTTGTTGTAATAGGCGTAGTCTAAAAGGGAAGAAGGGGATGTGAAATGCATACTGTGTTTCAGTATAAGGAGCATTCCAGGGGCAGGTAAGTAAATTCGACGATTGACCAAAATTGACCTCGCGATGGACCGGTCGATCGCGATCGACTTGTTGACCAACCCTGCTATATACCACCGAATATTGTAGACAAAAATGCTATACATACATATCTATAACAACGCATTTAATTGATAAATTTTTGAAGGCGCGTAAATTACAAATATAAACGAAATAAAAATTTAGTACTTATTAGTCGTTTTTCCAAATTAGTAAGCGTTTTTACTTCCAAAGTTTCATATTCTGTGAATTGATTCCAAATTTCCGATTGGGTAATTAGACAATACGAATTATTTTTTTATTCTGATACAAGTATTCATCAGAGGTAATTAATTATTGTATAGGTACTTACATACGTACTAAAGAACATAACCTGTTTTTAAAAATAGAATCAATTACTAAAATGCATTTGGGTAATAATCGCAAAGTCCAATAATACAATGTTATAAAAAATGTTTATACCTAAACATTTTGATTAATAAAAGTAATTACATAGGTGCATACATGGGCGTACTCAGCTTTTGACTCAGAGGGGAGTGGGGGCAATGAGATGTTTTCTATGCAATAATTAAATACAATGTGCATTTATGTAAATTATTATTAATCATATAGAGCAACGATCGCATGAAAGTAAATTATTCAAACGAGTTATTTAAAAAATACTTTTGTGTAGATGACACAGTACGTTTGAGCTTTGAGCGTCACTCTTATCATTTTGTAGGAAGGAATACCTGTGTCTTTTTTGGACTTCGATAAAAATTTTCAAAAAAAACATCTGAACCTAACCTAAAATTGCTTGCCTAGGTGCCGAAAGGAACCTATACGTAGGGCTGCATTAAATTGAAAATAAGTAGTTTGAGCATTTATCATTAGATATGAAATATTATTCTGAAAATTCATTTCTTGAATTCTTTTTTGCCCACTACACACTTCCTCAAATTAATGAGGAAAAATTTGTTGCTGTTGTCACACCCCCGCCGGGAATCGAACCCGGGCTCTTTGGCTTTACGCGCCAATGCTTTGACCACTAAGCTACGAGAGATGACAACAGCAACAACGACAAACCGTACTTATTAGGTCACAAATCCGTCGAACTAATATATACTATGATTAAACATACATACAATTTTTTAGACATCTTTTAGAAGTGAGTTAGTTTAATATGAAATATTATTCTGAAAATTCATTTCTTGAATTCTTTTTTGCCCACTACACACTTCCTCAAATTAATGAGGAAAAATTTGTTGCTGTTGTCACACCCCCGCCGNAACAGTCTAATATTCGTTTGAACTTTGTCTTATGTTGAACTTCGACTTTTTCTTAAAATTAATTATGTATAAACTAAGGAAAACAAACGACACGCGATTTATTAATAATAGTAATATTCTGCAGTAATATTATTACGAATGGAACGCTAACAACAATAAGATAGATACGGTACATTTTTTTTGTATGCTATTTGGACTATAATGACCATTGGCCCCTATCATAAATTCATTTAATTCATTCGTCTTTATCAAACGAAAAATCTTGGTGTTTTTTCGTACCAAAACGGTAGTGTCTTAACATTAGTACGTAGTACAATAATTAAAAAGTGGCTTAAATACTAAGAAATTGGTGTATTTCTACGTTTAACATCGCTGGCTTGAGGGGGGTAGTTGCCTGTTCTTGCGCCCCTCGGTACGCCCATGGGTGCTTTGTTCAAATAATAAAAAAAAATCTTGTTACTAATACTGTTATTATTATTTCCAAATAATTATTATGGTGACAGTTGATTTAATGCTTACAACGATTATGTGTTTGTTTTCTCGTTAATATTCATGAATTTACAAGATTTAAAACCTTTTTTTCGATTTAATTCGAGATCATTGAATCGCTGCTTTAGTTGTTATTCGTATTCCTTGGGCTCTTGTAGAAAACAAATATAGTAATTTTAAGTAAAATAAAACATGCATATTTAACCTCGACCTTACATAGCGTTGATGAAATTTTAAATAAATAGCGTTATTTGCAAATATTAGCTGTCTCTCTAGGCTAGGGTTATGTGTATTAATTTTTAATAGAAAAACGTTGTTCTTCATTGTTTATTAATTCCAATGGCATTAACGAGCCCGTATCAAATATGTTCATTTTTTTGTTTTAAGCTTGTGTGAAATAGTATTTTTATTATTTTAATTTGAAAAATAATTAAAGTAACTTTTGCAATTTTTGTTAGTGACAGTTTGAATATATTTTAACGTTTTAATTTCGTACTCCACCCTATAAATTTAATTAGCTGTTAGCGATAGGCTAACCTTGGAGCTTTTAAGAAAAACGTATATAATGATAGAGTTTATTACAAGTACATTATTAAGTTTTACATGAATTAGCTTTTACATTGTTTGTTTTTATGATATTAATGTTAGCAAAATTGCAGGGCCGCATTCATAAAGTTTATTCGCCAGTTCTTTACTTTTCGTTAATTGATTATTGATTCGGTTTCATTGACAGTTAGCTGATCGGGTTTCCCTATTATTATTATTATTGTAAAACCATTAATAAATGCGCCAGAATTAGTACGTTTTCCTAATTAGTTGCATTAGTAGGTTTTACGTATTTGTTATAGTAAAAAATTTTTAATCATTAACAGTATCGGAATTAATTACAAAAATTAAATATACACGTCTCTTAGTGTATTGGTGTATTGTTTTCAAACAATTTGCATTCAAATTCATACCGTTGATAAGGTTAAAAACATTTCAATAGAGAAACGTTATTTGTAGGCATATAAAACTTTGAACGAGCATTTGTTCATTAGCTTACATTAGTGTTATAAATATCTATACAATAATCAAAAGGAACGTATTAATTAATCTAAAATGAATTACATTAAAACCAAATTTTATTAATTAATTCATTGTTTTTACGTAATTTTGGGAATTTCTTAATTTCTTTGCAGTATTGGCTGTACGTTGGGTTGTCTATAAATTTGTAATTTATCGTAAAAAAAAAAATTAATACCCCTAACTAAATGCACATCATCATCATCATAAGGTCATCAGTCCTAAGTCTGGTTGGACACGTACCTCCACTCTTTCCTATCCTGAGCTAAACTAACTATTTGCGAACAGTAATCTAATCTAGGTCTACCTCTACCCCTTCTAACTCCTGTTTCTGCCTCTAATATGTCTCTGACTAGACCTTCATGCCTAAGAAGGTGTCCTACCAACCTATCTCGCCTATTTTTTATTGACTTCCATAGAGTCCTCTGTTCTCCTATTCTTTCCAATACCTCTTCATTTCTAACCTTTTCTACCCACGATATCCTCATCATCCGCCTATAACACCACATTTCGAACGCTTCTAACCTTTTCTTTTCCGCCGCTCCCACTGTCCATGTTTCGCACCCGTACAACGCCGTGCTCCAAACATACACCTTTAACAACCTTTTTCGAATTTCTAAATTAACCGTTCGCGAGCATAGAAATGTAGTGATTTACTTTAGTTTAAAATTGTCCCGGCGCCTCCACCAAAATTTTCAATAAAATGTGTGTATTTTCATGAACGTCTTATTTTTTGATATTAAATCAATAGCCCATAATAAAAATTAACTAATCAGTAACTTAATCATTTTTTAACAGTTTCAAATAAAAATATGTTAGGGTTCTCAATTAAATTTACAAAAAAAAAAATGTATTTAAAAATATTACTAATCAGTTAATTATTTCTACGAAATATTTTGTAGTTTGTTCTAGGATAGTACTAAGTTTCGTGTAAGAAAGTTATTTTTATGAGAAAAAAGTTTTTCGATATTCTTTATAGTTGCATTATTAGCATTGCAAAATTTACTGTAGGTTGGGTTGTCTATACAATATCAATATTCCATTACCAATTGTAGTTTCATTTATTGTCAAATGAAAACTACAAATTAACATCCCTAACTGCATATACGAGCAAAAAATACAGTTAAAGATGAAAAGTCATCAAGCTATTTCAATGAAACCGGAATTATAACTCGTTTACTGTTATTATTTGAAATTGTCCCGGCGCCTCCCCCAAAATTTTCAATAAAATTTTTTGATAGTTCCTAATAACGCATTTTCATTATATCTTATTTTCAACATTTAAACGATAGTTTACAAGATTAACTTATTAAATTGTAACATCAAATGAAACGGGACCGTAGTTACTTTTTAATTCCTTAAATAAAAAAATTGGAAACAAGCTTATCAATATTTATTATAAAAAAATTAAAAATTAATTTTTCGTTTTGTCAAGACTAGTATAGTGATTTACATATTTTGTAGATTTTTAAATCATAAGAGGGCCAGTAATTTCATTTTCGAGCATTTTTAAATATTTAGGTACGTTGTCCAATATTTCTTGTAAATTGTCGTCTTTTGAGAAGAGGGCTTGGTCCACTATTAATCCCATATAAAATTTTTTGTTGAAGGTCAGGCACGTAAGTCCCACTCCTGCAAAATTCATTAGTTAATGTATTAATAGCCTTTAACATTATCAATAACATTTTTAAATTTCGATTTCAAAATTTGTATTAGAAAAAAATAGTGTCCGACCGAAAGTTCGGTTTCGGTTTCGGTCAAGTTTCGGCAAAAAAACGAGTTTCGGTTTAGTTTCGGTTTCGGCAGCAAACCTGCCGAAACTACAACCGAAACCGAAACTGCGTTCGGGAGTTCTCGCGCTCTGCTCGGTCATGTTCGGCGCGATAAATTCCATCCAAGTGAAGTATACTATACTTACTCAAATACACATCTCTCCTATTTAAGGTATTTTTAAGGCGCAATTAAGTATTTCCTTAAATGAGGGGTTGTTATGTTGATTTTGATTTGATTATCGATAAGTGAAAATATCAAAGACTGCAGAGCTATGTGATTTAAAGATAAAAAAATAAAACTAACGTTTTCTTTATTTTTCTCTCAAAACATGATCCTTATAAGGAAGTTTCGGTTTCGGTTTCGGTTTCGGCCGAAACTGAGACCGTTGCCGAAATTCGGTTTCGGTTTCGGTCGTAAAAACCAGTTTCGGTCGGACACTAGNGATTTGATTATCAATAAGTGAAAATATCAAAGACTGCAGAGCTATGTGATTTAAAGATAAAAAAATAAAACTGACTGATTATAATAACGTTTTCTTTATTTTTCTCTCAAAACATGATCCTTATAAGGAAGTTTCGATTTCGGTTTCGGCCGAAACTGAGACCGTTGCCGAAATTCGGTTTCGGTTTCGGTTTCGGTCGTAAATACCAGTTTCGGTCGGACACTAGAAAAAAACTAATTCAGTCTTATCACCCTGTATAATAGTTTAATACCTACGTATCCTCTGTTTGGCAACCAATATAATAATTCTGTGACAGGTAATACATTGAAAAATGAAAAAGCGTCCGGACCTGGCAGAACGCTTATAAATGAAGTAAATTTTGATAATTGATAAAAATAGTGTACAAGGAAAACTGGTATTACTGCGTTAAAAGTTAGTCCCCAGTAGTTAATCTGCAATAAAAATATAAAATTATTATTTTGCGTTACAGCATTTTAAAGGGTTACACTTGCATGAAAATCAATCGAATCTCTTAATCGATGCTCCTGCAGCGCAGTTTCTCTAAATCTTTGAATAAGTGTATCATTTGAAATTTCAACGGGCATGTTAAACAATGCCACGGCAAAGTTGTTGGTAAAAGTCACTTTCTCAGTACGGTCCTGCTTAAAGTCTATTTTAGTCGGTACAACTCCGGTTATATATTTGGGTAATTCTTTCGTTTTCTGTTTCAAAAAAAGAATTGTTATTTAACCGACTGTGTAAGCGATTTGTAAAATTACTTTTTGAAAATATTCATGCAAACTTGCGGAAAATGCCGTCATTATGAAATCGTTAAAACAACTTCCAGTTACTTTTCTTTTCAATCTTCTGATAAGCGGAACTAATTCTTCACGATCTTCTGTGTTCCAATAGAATTTTTTACGTCCACTAAGTTTAGGCCCATGTAATATGTTTACATCTTTCGGTCTCAGAAAATTTTGTACTATGATACAATTTGGAAGGAAAGTTATAAAGATCAGAAAACTTGTTATCATCTTTATATATTCGGTTGCTAAGGTTTTTATCTTATTGCTCATTTTTTCATTACAATATTGATCTTTCTTTGAACTAATTCCGTTATCGTTCATACTATTGGTATTACCGTCTTTAATAGTGTTCTGTTCGACAATTGTAAACGGGGTGGAATTAATAAAATTGAAAATCGAAAAGCCGTCTCCAAGACTGTGGTGGATTCTCACAATTATTGGATAGTTCTTTTTAGTATCGGCTTCTTTCCATATTATCGGTTTTTTCGAAACCAGTATTTCACAATACCTGGTGTGATTTTGTGGTAAAGGGTTGTTGCAATACATTGACAATTTCTTCTCCAAATCACCACGATTAATGAACTGTTTCGCGGGATCATCGGTGTCGAACTCTACAATACATTCATCTGAAAGCGACCCCTCGTCGATGTTATAAAAATAACCCAAACTTTTATGAAAACTATAAACGAGCTTTGTATCTTTTAGAGAACCATACTGTGTTTCATTTAATATCGCTTCTTTCACTGTTTCGTAAACACTTTTTGACATGCCTTCAACTTCTTCGACCAGTAGCAGGGCTACTACAATATTTCTGGACTGCGGTTCTTCAACTAACCAAATTACGTCTCTTCCAGCTACAAACCCTTTAAACTTTTCTTTGTACTTGGCTTTTAATATTACGTAAACCAACCCTCGGTATAGGGTGCATAAAATAACTACGGCGATCAGTAAGGGCACCACCACCACTGATATAAGAAGGCATGCCGTCGCGAAAATGTATTTTGAGAAACAGTTACTCAGGAATGATAGATTGTGCCTGTCATTATTTTTAACACTCTAGAAAACAAGGAATATTATGGTTATGTGGTACGATATCGGTTATAACGACAACTCTGATGTAACGTCAATCATAACTAGGGTTGCCACCCGTACTTCATTATAAAGTATTGTACTCTATTTCGACTGTGCGTACGTTATACTTTACAAGACACATAAAGTACGCAAAAATACTTTATTTAAGGCCTTAAGTAAACATCGTAATTTTGAAAGCGATTATTCGAAATTCAGAGTATTTTTACATCAATAATATTACAAAGAAAAAATAGCAAGCCATATTTACGGAACAACCTGATTTCCCAAATCTGTTCAAGGTAATGTCACTTTTGCTGTCCGTTCCGGCCACTTCAGCATTTACAGAAAGGGTTTTCTCTGTTATGTACGCAAAGTGGCGGGACGACAGGAATAAAGCTTCATTAAAACTAATTAAAAATGAACTTTTAGTTTACTTAAATCTTTGTTTGCCATGTTTAGAGGCTATTAATGTATTTGTTACTGACTGCTAGGTGTAACAAAAAATATGTTTTTAAAAACAAAAAATGAAATACTTTATTTTTATGCCGAGTACTATTTGTTTTGAACCTTTTAGTCCAGAAATACTTTGTGTAAAGCATGAAAAGGTGGCAACCCTAATCATAAGTTATATGTATTATAAATGCGAATGTTTGTTTGTTGTTCTGCTTTGCACGCCTTAACCACCCAACCGATTATCATGAAATTTTGTACATCCATTGTCAGGGATACAAAAAAGGACATAGGGTACCATTAATTCAGAAAAAAAATACTGTTCCCCAGATATAGAAAAATTAGTTTTATGTGGTCGATTTCACGCCTTAATAACTCAATCGATCATCATGAAATTTTATAGACACATTGTCAGGGGTACAAAAAAGGGCATAGGGTACCTTTTATCCAGAAAAAAAATACTGACCCCCAAGAGTAGAAAAATTAGTTTTATGTGGTCGATTTCACGCCTTAACTACTCAATCGATTATCATGAAATTTTTTAGACAAATTGTTAGGGGTGCGGAAAAGGACATAGGGTACCTTTTATCCAAAAAAAAATACTGTTCCCAAAGGATAGAAAAATTAGTTATATGTGGTCGTCGATGATATAGACATCACGGGCGAAGCCGCGGGTTAGACAAATTGTTAGGGGTGCGGAAAAGGACATAGGGTACCTTTTATCCAAAAAAAAATACTGTTCCCAAAGGATAGAAAAATTAGTTATATGTGGTCGTCGATGATATAGACATCACGGGCGAAGCCGCGGGTTTTTAATAATTCAAATAAACGCTAAAAATTCCGATAATATTTAACGTCATCTTTTTATTGCTACAAATAATTGAAACGATTTAAATTATCAGGAAGAAAAAATGAAAATTATAAACAATAATCATAAAAAACGAATCCATTTATCTATAAGGTCTTGGGCAACAGCCCCCCTCCCCCAAAGATGTCTAATTTTCTAAATTAATTATTTATGTTCTAAATATTGTACATGTACTTACCGTGTTTAAATAAAAACTGACAAACTGGCTTAAAATTGCACCTGTAAGAATTTGAAGTATCCAATCACATTCTAACCACATCTTGACTGACCATTATATGTATAATAACTTCCGGTTCGAACATAAATATGTATGTTATAAACAGTCTAATATTCGTTTGAACTTTGTCTTATGTTGAACTTCGACTTTTTCTTAAAATTAATTATGTATAAACTAAGGAAAACAAACGACACGCGATTTATTAATAATAGTAATATTCTGCAGTAATATTATTACGAATGGAACGCTAACAACAATAAGATAGATACTATTATCAATAATAGATCCATGTGCACTAATTGCCTCTGCAACTTTGGTTCTTATCATTATCACATTTCGATATACATATGTGCATATACATATATATATATCTATCCTCAAACTACGTACTATCTTTTAGAACGATTGCTATTTGAAAAGTATTAATATAAGAACTATTATGTACGTATTTATTTAACTTTCGTAAATATAAAATTGCGCTGGGCAAATTTTCGTGTTCTTGTAACACTTTATTTATTTGGCTTACATATTTACTTTTACTCTATGTAATCTAACATTTTCCCATTGTCTGTTTTCAAAATCCATTGTTTTCTTATCTGCACTGCCCAAATCATTTTTTTTTCAGTCTTCTAATATATCCAATATACTTACACATATATACAGTTGGATTAACTGGAGATAGATCTTCAAAAAAAAAAAGATTAAAATTATTAGTGTTTATGAATAATTATTAAAGGTGTATGTTTGGAGCATTGTACGGGTGCGAAACATGGACAGTGAGCGCTGCGGAAAAGAAAAGGTTAGAACCGTTCGAAATGTGGTGTTAAGGGCGAATGATGAGGATACCGTGAATAGAAAAGGTTAGAAATGAAGAGGTAATCACCATCATAAGGTCGTCAGTCCTAAGACTGGTTGGACACGTACCTCCACTCTTTCCTATCCTGAGCTAAACTTCGCATTTCCCTAAAACTAGAACAACCCACATCCTTAACTATTTGCGAACAGTAATCTAATCTAGGTCTACCTCTACCCCTCCTAACTCCTGTTTCTGCCTCTAATATGTCTCTGACTAGACCTTCATGCCTGAGAAGGTATCCTACCAACCTATCTCGCCTATTTTTTATTGACTTCCATAGAGTCCTCTGTTCTCCTATTCTTTCCAATACCTCTTCATTTCTAACCTTTTCTACCCACGATATCCTCATCATCCGCCTATAACACCACATTTCGAACGCTTCTAACCTTTTCTTTTCCGCCGCGCCCACTGTCCATGTTTCGCACCCGTACAACGCCGTGCTCCAAACATACACCTTTAACAACCTTTTTCGAATTTCTAAATTAACCGTTCGCGAGCATAGAAGTGACTTATTTTTATTAAAGGCGACACGACCCTGCGCTATCTTCTGCTTTATATCCCTACTACTCCTTCCATCCTCACTTATCTGACTTCCTAGGTATCTAAAATCAGCCACTTCTTCTAATTTTTCGTCTCCTATCTTTATATTCGTCCTTTCCCTACTTTTTCTTCCCTGAAGAGGTATTAGAAAGAATAGGATAACAAAAGACTCTATGGAAGTCAATAAGAAATAGGCGAGATACATTTGTAGGAGACCTTCTCAGGCATGAAGGTTTCAGATAGTTAAAGATATGGGTTGTTCTAGTTTTAGGTTTAGGGAAATGCGAAGATTATTTCAGGAAAGAATGGTGGTACGTATCCAACCAGTCTTAGGACTAACGACCTTATGATAATGAGTAATAATTATAAATCTCCCAAAAAATATCATTATCATTATATTTTTGGTGAAAACATTTTTCAACGAGGAAAATATAAATACAGCAGATGTTAGGCTTTACCTTTTCCTATTATCACACATGTATCCCAACAGCGGTTTCTTTTTCCAATTTTCTTAAATATTTCGGGACATTATCCAAAATTGTTTGTAGATCATCGTCTTCTCCAAAAAGTGCTTTGTCCACTATGAGCCCAAGTTGAAATCGCTTATCATAACTTAAACACGAAACACCTACACCTAAAAAGTTGACATACATTTCTGTTAAGTTATTTTACTCGTGTATTTTTTTGCTATACCTATATAGCCCCTATTGGGTAGCCAAAAAATCAGGTCACGAAGTATCAATTTATCAAAAACAGTAAAGGCTTCTGGACCAGGCAAGTTGCTGAAAATCATGGTACAGTGGGGAAATCTGAATAACGGGTACAGAAATGGAACTGGTATAATTGCGTTAAATACCGTCATCACCCAATAGTTTATCTGTAAAAATACTGACAATTAAAATGTGTATTATAGAAGACGGTGCAAAGTCCTTACGTGAAAGTCAATTGAATGCCTTAGCATATGGGTTTGTTTCATGGTTTCTCGTAGTCGGGATAGTACCACGGTTTTGCTACTAAAAATATGATGGGGTTTAGGAACTTCTACTGGCATATTGAACAACCCCACGGTGAAATTGTTAGTAAATACGAACTTATCCGTTTGCAGTTGTTCGACTTCTTTTACGTTCATCCTTGCTGGGACTACAGCTGTTAGATACTTTGGTAGACTTTTAGATTTCTGTAACGAGAAAGTAAGTGTGCCTGTTCATACTGCCCGTAAAGCACTTTACCTTTTGGAAATATTCGTGGAAACTTGCGGAAACTGCCGTGAATAATATGTCCAAAAATGACGCTCCTGGGATTCTTTTGCGTAATGTTCTTGTCAACTCAACAAGTTCTTCGTCATCCTCAGTCTTCCAGTAGAAGGACTTTTCACCGCTCAACTCTGGTCCATGCAAAGGATTAACATCTGTGGGCCTCATCCAAAGTTGTATGGCTAATGTGGTCGGTCCAAAAATTAATATGATCATGTTACCAAGCAGTTGCTCTCCCAAAAATTTAATTACATTTTGGACAACGTTCCAATACGTGTCTTCTTTAAATTTGTCAACTTTGTCGTTGGTTGTCTTCGCTTTTCTGGTGATGTTGTTATTGTTGTTGTTGTTATTGTTACCGGTAATGTACTCATGGGATGTGTCCAATGTTTCTTTGACTTTAATTGGACCGTCTGTGAAGCAGTTGGTAAGGATTTGAAGGATGCATATACCATCGGCAAGACTGTGGTGGACTTTGAAGATGCAGGCATAGCATTTTTTGGTGTCTGTCTTCTTCCAAAGTATCGGTTTTTTACCTATCAGCACTTCCATGTGAACCGAGTGATTTTTGGGCAATGGTAAGTTTCCCACTTCTGATAGTTTCTTCCTCAGTTCTTCGTGTGTCATGAACTCTTGGTTGGGATCGTCGGTATCAAATTCCGATATATATTCCGAAGGATGTACCGTATCCTTAAGTAAATAGAGATAGCCAAACTTCCGGTGGATCGTCGAAGTAAATTTTGAGTCTCTTAGGTTGCCTATCATTATCTCTTTGATTACACGGTCTCGGACCGCTTCTGGGACAGTTTTATCCAGGTCGTCCCGTTCTTCCACTATCATGACTCCGTTTATAAGATTTTTCGACTGGTCTTCCACTACCCATATAACGTCTCGACCTGATACTAGTCCTCCATATTTTTTTCCGTACTTCTGCTTTAAAATTAAGTGCACCAGGAGTCTGTATGTGCCAAATATAATAACGACTACGGCCAGAAGGGGTAATAACACCGTGGACATTAGAAGACATAGTATGGAAAATAAGTAACGGGATCTATTGGTTGTTAAAAACTGGAGATTATGACACTTATGACTCGGGATACTCTGAAACATAAATTAATTTTATTATTTACGTGTAGGTACGTATTTGACGGGTTTTTTTTAATTATTTCTTTGGAAATTATTTTGTTTATGAAAATATGTTTGTTCAAAGAAGTAATTTTGTTTATGCAGCTGCGTTAAAAGAATATTTCAGCTAAACAAATATTTGCAAAAATTAATTATTTATTTAGGGTAAACAGATTGTTTTTTTAGGACCATTTCCTAATTTGCATAATATATTTGCTAGGTTTATTTTTGTATTATTTTAGAATTTAAAAAAAATAAAATTTAAATTGGAATGATGATCCCAGGTGATAGTTTATTAACTATTAGTTGTTTATTGTTAATCATTTCCTGCGTGCCAAATCTGCCATGACGTGCTCTTTCTACGTAATAACAAGCCAAATACGATTTTTTTTTCTATATTTTCCTGTTTGCATATTTCAGTCACTAGCTATTGTTTTTATGATATGTGTACGTTCTCATCTTCGAAATTATTTAATTATTTTGTTGTCCATGTTAAACCTCACGTATACTACACAATGTTGTTTTTTTTTTCAAATCTTGAAGTCCTTGTTCCTTTTTTTAAAAGTTCCAGTTAAAACGTTAATTATTCAGAATTTTTATGACTGTTTTAATTCATAAAAAGATCGAAATAAGTGACGCACTCTCCATAAAACCTTTTAACTATAGTAATAGTAAATTTTCCAATTTTTCTCTTCATAAGAACCTTTCTCGGAATTCAAGGAATATTTTAAAAAAAAATTATTGAAATTAGTCCAGCCGTTCTCGAGTTTTTCGCTTAGCAATCATTTAGCGATCGACTTTTACATATATAGATAGATAAATGCATAAACAATTGAATGGGCGGAGTCTTGTCACTGCCCATGAGATTCTCAATTACCTCTATCATCTAATATAATGTGTTGGGAATTTAGAAAGACAACATTTTGAGGCCCTAAGAAATGTGAACACGGTTTTTTGTAAATGATTAAATAATTACCAAGTAAAAAACATTTGCGTCAAATCGATTAAAAGATCATTTTATTTAATAAAAGCATGTTTCATGTTTTAGAATCATCAAAGCATTGCAATTACATGCATGTTTTCCAAAAAAAAACTACTTATGTAACTTTATAAGTATAATATAATTTTTATATTTGACGTAAGTTTCTTAAAAATTTGCAATTAGTCAAAACTTACCGTGCTCAAGTAGTATCTCATAAAAATGGTAAATATAATGCCTATTACGGCTCCCAACACGAATTCATTGCTACTTGCTGTACTAGATTGGTATTCCTCTGGGAAGTAGGGAAAACAAATGTTTTGACTTGTCACTTTAGTGGTATAATTGCTATTTTCAATTAATTCCATTTTTACCGGAATGTGTAGTAAATATGAATACATATAACGATTATAGCTGAACTACATAACTAAACCGCCACTTTATATTTATATATATTTTAATAAGTTAGTGTATGAAAAAAAAATACGAGCACTACTACAAAGTATCGATTACATTTGAATCTCTAGCTTCTACAAGCTTAAAATTTGAACTGCTTTTTAAACAGTTACCAATTTATATATATACTGTATATGAAGAAGATCATAATCGCGTAAAATCGCCTTAACTAGTTGTAAGTCTTCTTAGTAGTAATAAAAAAAATGTCATGCATATTTATGTTCGGCCTTCGCAATAAATATATTTTATTAATGTTCTAACGTCTCTCTTTTTTGAAATTCCCCGCTGTCATTAAAAGTTTACACACAAAAAGTTTACGATTTTTTGGGGGTTCTCTACAGTCCGCGCAAGACTTTTACAGGTGGGGGGAGCAGTTTTTAATTTTCTTGTGGTTTCTTACGAAAAGGGGAGGGGTATGCAATCCATCTTACGTAAGACTAACCGAATTGCGTATGTAGTGACGTTGTTCTATGAAAATTATTTATTTCGGAACAAGTTTTTTTTTAACATAACACAGGTAATACCAAGTTATCTCCGAATTTTACTTTGATTAAATGTTTAGTAATTTTAATTAATTTTTTTGTAGTGTAACATAAAAAATGTGTCACTATTTTTATTTATGGCAGTGTAACAGANGTCATTTTTCGTGCAATATTTGTAAATAAAGTACTATCTCCGGAAAATTGTAACGTTTGTGCGTCAACAAAAATTCACCTGTAAACCAACAGGTAAGGCAAAAAGAAAGATGGACAATAAGTACTTTGTGTGTAACTGTTTCTGTAGGTGTACCTGTTTGTAACAAAGGTGATTCATGTTAAATACAGGTATAGAACGCAATAATATTCGTTATAGATTTATAGGGATATTCTTTTTCTTCGTTTATGGTAAATTTTTTGTAAAGTATTTCCGTTAGACGATACAAATGCAGTACTACCTACCTATATTGTTAAACGTGACAATTTTTGATTTCACTCTTTATCTATAATGAACAGGTAGATTGTTTTGTTCTTTATAATATCCTTGTACAAGCTTGTAATGATTTACGTGAAAATTACACTGTTTTGTTATCAGTATTTTGTGACCCTCGATAATTCTTTTTATTTGATGTATTATGTGTTTGTTTTTGATTTTTTGGTTGAAAGGACATCGACCTTGAAGCATCTATCTAACAATTAGAACGTGAACAGGTATTCTTATTTTCATTCATTATTATTTCATTAACTGTTATTTAATGATTTATACCTAACTATCGAACAAATTGCCTCCTCCAAATTCCGTAATTCGAAAGAACATTAAATAGAGAAATATACCCACCATGTTTATAAAAGGAATTTTACAATTGCCATTGTTTTTTGAGATACCAGAAACAATTAAAAACATTGTGTAACGGTTTTCTATTGTCATAACTTAATGGATTAATTTCCAAAAATAAAGGTAGATGAGCACATTAGACAGGTAAAGACAACTACAATAGTATTAATATTATATTTAATGAGGGTTGAAGCGGCAATATAATTACTTTGTTCACTGAAACGCTTTCTGGGGTCATTACTCTTTAGTTAATTAATATCAGAGCTATTATTTGAATAATTTTTATTTTCAATTCGCAGTAATTTTTTTGCCAAGTGCGACCTTTCCTGAAACATTTCTTACATCTATTTCACTGATGTAATACATTTTGTTATGGTTTATCGTACTTTAACGTATTACTTTTGCTATAACTATACCAAGAATGTTCAGTCAATGTGCTAAACAAAATTTCTTGCCAACCAAACATTTTCAATGACTATTGTACGCTTTTTTGTTCTACTAAAGTTTGTTGTGGATTATAACGTTATAAGTACCTACAACAAATTAAATATTGCTACTCATTTCTAATTTTTGGCACTAAATGTTCGTATATGCGATACAAATTAGGTGCTTCATTAAAGGAGCATAGTAATTATCATTTGGTAGTCCTTAATTTGTCTTTAGACTAATTATTTAATGATTATTAAATTTCTATGAAGTACTTGTATTATCTACTCAGTTACTTTCTCTTAAGTGTTGAATTTATCATTTTTGAAGTCATGTTTTTAAGTCAATATTCTCTGTACCTATCTAATGTGTACTTAACAAAGATTTAATTAATGCTTTCACCTGTGAACACAGGTAATTGTGGCCAATAAAATGGTAAATTATAAAGGATTTTCTTTTTCGTTTTATTTTATTTTATTTTAGATTATTGACATGTTTATTTTAATATTTTTCTAATTATTTTTTGGATTAGGATTAAACCCCGATCTTGAACGTCATATTAATTGTGTTAGATCGCCGTGTGTAGTAAACAAACTAAGCCTTCACTATTGCGAATGTTCATTGACCTTAAAAATCGATTTTTCGATATGTTTCGTTCTTCCCTGGTCGTATTAGTTGAAGGGATGTTCTTTTATTCGAATATTTACTAAAGATAATGTATGTATAATCCGCATAAGTCATGTCAGAACCTAGTCGAATGAGTCATGATGTATGACCAAGGTGCGCCAAGATATAAACTGGACTTTTACCTTTTAATAAAAAAATCTATAATTTATTTATTGATTGTGCACTATTAGAATTTAATTGTTCTCGAATTGATTATATTCCTATCGTTAGACAATATTAATTAAGGTAAAACTAGTTACATACTGTATTGTCATGTACTGTATTATACTGACCCTCTCCTCTGTCCCCATTTAGTAGAAATATTGCTTTATTATTGTTTCTACATTCTTTTTTAAATATATATTACAAAAACAAAATTATACGTAAATAAACCATAGTAAAATTATAAAAATTGACGTCTTACTACGTTTCGTATTGCATAAGATAAGTTTCATTAATTTAATTTGTGGTTCAGTGTTCAGACTGTATTCTAATTGATAACCGTGACCTAGTTGCTGGGAAAAAAAGTTTTAAAGTAACACAGGTAACACTGCTACCTGCTACTGTCGCTTAATCCAACAAAGAATGTTAACCCACGTTAAGGAACAAGTACCAACGTAAATCACCCTGAAGGAGGGTGGAACTAAGAGGAAATTTATCGTTTGAACCGGAAGCCAAAACATACAGCTCGTCTTGAACGTTGTTAAAAACTTTTCTTTTAGTTCCTTGGTACAGTCTTCTCTACCTTCTAGTAAACTCATTGCTAAAAATGAAAAAGTATGAGTACTTACCTATTTGTTTTATTGTACATGTATTTGTTATTGATTAAAAAAATTGATTTAAAAGAATATTTTGTTCTATTTACAGACTAAATTCCGAAATCGACATGTGCACTACATAATGGTGAGTTTTTTACTTTGATTTGTAGCTTTATCTACATGTTAACAAATTATTTTTTATAACTTACCGATAAAGAAAAGACAGTAAAGTGGGGGGGTAGCTAGGAATTGGTCTAGTAAAACTTTTTGCGTAACAATTTTATAAGCGGTCCCCTTCAGTTTTGAATCCAAATATCTGAACCTGCAAAATGATTTTCAGTATACACCAATCAATAAAAATGAATACGCATTTTCCACCAAATTGTTAAGTAAGGCCCCTGCAGAAGTGTCCCGTAGACCGCATATCGTCCGATAGTTTTCTTATCTAGCGGTTCTTTTTCTTCAGTCTGAAATATTTTGGTCGTTAATTAATTTTATTGCCAAACTTTTGGAATAAATTAAAATAAATTATTACNTGTCAATTAGTTGCTAATGCCATATTCAACTGTCTTAATGTATTTAAGTGATAAAATTTTATGATTTGATAAATTGATTTTGATTTTATCGAGAGTTACGTAAGAATTTTACGATTTTTTACGTTTTTTTTTTTAATCATTCGCTGTCGCAGTTAGCGAAAAAGTTCGAACAAATCAATTTTTATGCTATAGCGACTTCCTTGACACTCTGGGCAGGGCAAGAAGAACCATCCCCAAAGTTTCAAATGGCGAAGGGGTCGAATAATAGATCAAATTAAATGTTTTTGGAACGGTTGTTGCAATGAGACACCATAAAGTCCTTCTAAAAACCTTTAATTTGATGTATTATTCGACGCCCTTACCGTATGGTTCTCGTCCTGTCAGGACGTCAAAGAAATCACTATTTTATAACGCAAAATTTCCCTGTTTTGTTCTTGCTTGAGGTTCTAAAAAATCTATCAAAGTAAAGAGCTTGTTAACTTACCCCTTCAGGTAACATTTTTAAAAATTATTTCTTTCAATCGTTGGCGCTGCACCTCGCACAAACAATGTTAAGAAAATACAAAAATTTAATTAACTTTTCTGTTTTAATTCTGTTTCTTTCACTTAAAATGCACCAATAATTAACCGATTATGTGCGTTTTAAGTGTATGTGGTAACTGGACTGAATAAATATAGATAATACCAACGCCTTTTTGCAATGGTAATAATAATTAACAATCGATCTAAATTGTGTTTAGTACGTAAATGCAAAATATGCACGTTCTCTTGCACTGTGCTTTGGTGTTCTTGACATAAAACGCAGGATAATTTTTTACGTATTCATGTAGCAATAAACTGTAACAGTCGGGGGAAAACTTCTGAGAAAGTGCTTTATTTATTTGTTATTGTTATTTACATGCAACTGCAAGAATGAAAATATTCAAAATTAAGAATTCATACTTAAATATTTAATACATTATCTATCAAAAAAAGGTACCTTTAAAAAAAAAAAAAAAATACTGTTCCCAAAGGATAGAAAAATTAGTTTTATGTGGTCGTCGATGATAT